CTTTACCAGCTTTCTTGGAGGTGGTAGAAATTAGGAGAGGAGCTTTTCTGGAAGAAGCTGGTCCTAGAGGACATGTCTTTGAAGGGCACAGCCTCTTCCTGGTCCTGTCCTGCCCTCCTCTTTCTGCTTCCCAACTGCTACAGGCGAGCCTGTCTCTGGCATATCTCTGCCATGCCCCCTACCATGACATTCAGACTCACTGTAGCCTGGAAATGACACTGGCATTAAATATCACATGACGAAGGGAAACATTTCTTTTAAGTCAGAATGAAGATAGGGATGCTGGTAAAATGGCTCAGCTGGTGACGGCACTTGTTTCCAAGTGTGATAACCTGAATTTGATCCCAGGGACCAACATGATAGAGAACCCACTGCAATAAGTTGTCCTCTGACCTCCACACCCAAGCTAGGGCTCGTGAGAGTTCACACATCTACACCTAAGTAAATAGTATGTAACATTTTAAAATTGTTCAATTGAATTTGAGCATGGGGTGAGGACAGAATTTCTAAGAGTTTCTGAACGAGCTCGAGAAATTCTCCTGCCATTGCCTACTGTGTACTTCTGCTAAGAAGCTTTGTCAGCACTGACAGTTATAAAATACCTCTGAAAAATGCTGAAGATGTTCTGTGTTCTTCAGTATCATGAATTAAGTTAAGATTTAATTCTTTAATGTAGAAATAATCACAGTGTGCAGTTTTGCTTTCATCTGCAATAAATCATCAAACAACATGTATATGGAAGAATTGTTTTAAGTAAACTTCTTTATGACTTACAGGAAATGCTGGAAAACTATTTTATATAAATATTTATCTAGAGTCATGTTGAACTTTCTTGGGTGTAAAGGGGTCGAGAGTGGGAAATGTTTAAGCAGCCTGGTATAGTGCACACTGCCTAGCCTCCACTCTAACCCTTTGGAATCTGATTTCTGCTGTGACTCCCTAGTCAGTCCGCGCCCAGCTGTAACAGACCTGATCGATTTCCTCAACTGCCAACGCCTCTCCCCACTCCCTGACACTACCCGGTGCCTGATGGGGCTCTTCTGTCTCCCTTCCTGGCTTCCCATCACAAGATGCCCTCTCTGTCTTGACGTTGTCCCCTCTGAGCGAGCACTCCCCCTCTCCTGGCTCCATTACAGCCTCTCCACAGGCTCTCATCTGACTCTACAGCTGGCTCTACACTCCAGCAATCCAACGCGTGGTCTGTCCTCTACAGATAACAAGCCCAGGAGAATCTAAGGCCCTTCACAGCATCGCATTGTTTCTCATCGCCTAGCAACCACCGTGGTGCTTATCATTCCACCATGAGAAAACTTCCCACCACAAAAGCAACACTACGGTTAGGCACCCAGCCCTTGCCTCCCTCTCTCTCCTTTGTAAATGTGTGACTCGCCATAAATTCACTCTCCTTGGTCAAAACTGTTTGGGTTTCATCTGACTCACTTTACGAGTTTTTATAAACTTATAATTATTTATCACCATGAGGCTCAAGCTCCAACCATAGAAGATGGCCTTCTTCTTCCTCTGTCTACCTAGACTATGACATCCTGGAGGGGCTGGGCCAGGTATGCACTGAATAGCTGATGTTTGAAAAAAAATTAAATGTTCTAAAACCAAAGCCCCAGAGACTGGAGACAGAGTAGTAGGGAAGGAGTGGAAGGATGTGGGGTTCAGACATCAGAGCAAAAGAGGAAATAAAGACACACTGCCAAAACTTCTGCCTTTGGCCAGCTACCTGCACCCCATGGCCTTGAAACACTGAAGGTTAATTACTACATTGTCTAAGTATAAGATAATCTGTAAATTACAGTGCGCATAAAGAATAAGAATCGACACAGCCCCACTACCTGTGACAACAGTCATCTATTGCAGAATGAGTGAGGGCTCAAGCTTTCATCTGTCACAATTCTTTCACATTTTTGCACCATCCTACATACATATATGAACCTGCATTGGCTAAAACTAAGATTATGGCATTAGTGTTTCTAATATGGTGTAATGAGACAATCTGGTCATTTATTTTTGTTATTGTGTATTAATGCATTGATTTTCTTCCTAACATTTGATACATATGTATCACTGGTTTGCTGAGGGCTGAGACAGGAGCATCCTTATAAGTCTGAGGCTAGCTATTTTAGTCCTAGGTGAGCTAGATTGGTCCACCACTGTGGTCCTGGGGAGAGGCATAAAACATCCATTTAAAATTTTTTATGGAAACAGTTTCTTCATAACCTTTGATCTTTGGCTTCTTGAAATCTATGTATCATCTTTAAAAACTTTTAAAATAAAATTCTATTTATTCATTTAATGGGCGTGTATATACATGCTGCAATGTGTGTGTATGAGTGTGTGGAGAGCAGAGGACAACTGCCCCCCTTTAATACACACACACTGTTGTTGGATAGTCTGTGTCACCTTGACACAAGCTAAGGTCATCGGAGAGGAGGGAACCTCAATTAAGAAAGTGCCTCCATGAGATTAGGCTGCAAGCGGGTCTATGGGCATTTTTATAGTAAGTGATAGTTGGGGATAGTTTAGCCAATTATGGGTGGTGGTCCTAGATTTTATAAGAGAGCAGGCTGGGCAAGTGATGGAGAGCCAGTCAGTAAGCAGCATCCCTCCACGCATCCTCCATCCCTTCTGCATCGGCTCCTGCCTCCAGGTTCCAGCGCTGCTTAAGGTCCTGTCCTGATTTCTTTTGCTGATGAACTGTGATGCAGAAGTGTAAGTCAAATAAACCCTTTCCTTTCTGAGTTTCTTTGGTCATGGTGTTTCATCACAACAATAATAGTCTCAACTAGAAGATACACACACAAGCATACACACACTATTAAAGGATGCTAGAATTATTTCCTTTGCAATTTAAATTTTTCTGGAGTCAATATGTACCTCACTTTAAAGTTACTTGTTTTTCAAATCCTCCAGGAAATCTGCTTAACAAATATGACACCTGTCCATCAATCCTACCATGCAAGTACATTCGATATTTTCAAGCTAAGTATGTTTTCCCTGGCATCCTCTTTCTTGAGACTTTGATTCTACTGTTCTAACTTGACTTAGTTGATCCAGAATTCTCCCCACCCCATGTTGTTTTGTCTTTTCCTGGATTCCTGACTGCCCTGGCTTTAATTGTCAGCTTGACACATTATAGATTTGAAAGGGAAGCTTTCACTGAAAAATTACGTAGATCAAATTGGCTTGTGGGAATGTGGGTGCCTTGGGGGATTATCTCAGTCATTAACTGATGTAGTAGGGCTCCTCCACTCTAGGGGTGGTCCTATTCCCTGTGTCCTGGGTTGTAGAAGAACGTCAACTAAGCATGAACTGGAGCAAGCTGTCAAGCAGTGTTCCTCCATGGTTTCTGCGTCAAGTTCCTGCTGGAGTTCCTGCCCTGACTTCCCTCAATCATGACCTGTAAACTGGAAGTGGCAGAGTGCTCTGTCACAGCAGCTGAAGGAACATTAGATCCGTCTTACTAATTCTTAGTTTACTCCTCGAATTTGGTAAAATGTTTCTAGTATCCTTTAAGAAAAACAACCACATGTAATGGATAAATATTCAGTTCATGTCGAAATTGGTTGTCTTATCTTCATTCATAATTTGGATGGGGTAGAATAATATTTGATAATTATTTTCTCTAGGGATTTGCAGAGCATAGTTCCATAGTCTTCTACATTGAGTGTTTCTTTAGAAAAAAACCCACAAGTTCTGATCGTAACTTGTGTGCTTATATTTTTAAAGAGAACTTTTTAAAAAACTACTAATTGTGAGGCTGGACACAGCTCAGTGGGAGGGTGCTTGCCTAGCACACTAGGGCCAGGATAGATCCCAAGCAGTAAACAAACAAACCCCCAAACTAATTAGGAGACTCTTCCAGGTAACTTCAAAACCCAGTAATGTGATTGTTAATTCTAACGTGTTTTACACATCAAGAGAAAACTACTCAAAATATATTCAAATTCCTTCTAGAAATATTACTTGTAGAAACTGATTTTAACATGCTAAGACAATAGGGTATGAGCTGCAATGTAATATAAATAACTAATCATGTAGAATTCAGCTTTCCTCTTCAGCCTTGTTGAAAGCAGTCTCAGCATGGGAGGAAGAGCAAGGTGGAGGAGAGGAAGCAAAGGCTGCGCTCTAGACTTGAATTGAAGGCATGTGTTTTGATTGATCATGCATTTCATAATTTAAAATTCCAAGTACTATCTACCCAAAACACCCAGAAATAGTCTCCAACCCAGTGGCAATAAGAGCCAGGTGAATAATCTTGGGCTAACATTTCCCAGTAAAAGCAGTCATAATCTTTAGAGATTAGCCTGGTTCCTGGCCTATAACAAATTGTCAGACTGCAAGGTGGGGGGGGGAGTCATGAACGATTGACGAGAGTATGTCAAAAGGGCTCAGCTGCTGGCTTTGAAAGCCCTGATAGCTGGAGATCAGACAGCTGAGCATCTCAAAGGACAGTCAGTGCAGTGGCTTGAGACACATTAAACATATTTAAAATTGTGAGCTCATAAGCAAATCAAAGAAATTGAATTGATCAACCTCGAGAACATTGGGGACTGGACCCATTAGTTTGAAAAATGGTAAACAGCATCCAGTAATTGATGGAAGGGGTTTCTCTCTGTGGAAGTACCGCATGAATAAGTGAAAACAGAGCCTAGGATTTCAAGACAATAGTACTGTAAACTGAATGAATGGAGGCATGCAACAGCAGCTGAAAGTGTCCCAGAAGAGACCCAGGGAGCCACAGTGTGCCTTCTTATGAGCTTAGGAAGATTCTGTCTGTTTCTTGTTGCTGAATGAATAGCATGTCTAGACAAGTATAAACTTTTCTTGGATTCTTTCTGCCATAGAAGATGTCGCTTCTAAGGAATGTATATATTTTATATGTATTTATTACTTATATATTATATATAAAATATTAATATATATTTAAATATACATTTTCTAGCAACCAAATAGACAAACTGGTACTGAAAAAAATCCTGTACGTTTATTTTTTCCTTCCTGCGTGGTCACTTTCTCCTAACATTTGTTATTGGGCAAACTATGCTGTTTCCTGACTTCCTGTCTGGCTTGTATTATCTTCCCTACAGTGAACATTAAGAATGGGCCACTTTCTTACTCCCCCACTTCCACATCTTTGGGCCCTATCTTCCTTCTTTTCTTCCTTCCTTTTTTTCTTGCTTGCTTCATTTTTTCCCTTTTTCATCCTTTGTGCCTTTTACACCATGCCTTCTGATCCCACCCATCTCCCTTCCTACCCAAAAAATAAATAAATAAATAAAATTTAAACAAATATGAGGTGAAAGAAAATAAAAAAGAGAAAAAGAGAGGAAGGGAAATCTCATCACGGAAGCTGCAGTTTGACAATGGTCATGCAGCAAACGCCTTTAGCCATATATTTTTACATGCAGGTGTTTATGGAAGAGAATCATTGGCCACTGGACTCTGCTGCACCATTAATTCTGGGCCCTCACTGGGTCTTTTCCTGGACATCCGTTGCTGTCCTGTGTCATGAAGATCCTGAAGCCCTAGGTCCATAGGACTGATATTTGAGTCCTCCCCTTGCTCCAGCAGATCACAGACGGGGTGGATGTTGGGGTGGGTCAACACATAGCCCTGGTACTTGCAGAATTGGTCAGCCTGCCAGCTCTCCTCTGTCTTCACCACTAGGGTGGGCTCTCCAGGACTCCTGGGGCTTTGCAATGATGAGCAGTCTCTGGCTTTTTCCATCCCCAGGGTCAGTTCTCTCATGCCTACTCTGTCAGGGCCAGCTTTACTGTATTTCCAGGTGAGGTGTAGGGGCCAGCCTTCAAAGTGCTGCAGCTGATGAGGGACAGGGACAACTCTCTTGCTCTTGTGACCTCAGGGCCAGTTCTCCATCTGCCTCAGGCATTGATGGATGGGGTAGGGGTATCTCTTTCCTGCCCAGGCTGTCACAAGACAGATGAGTAGTGGGGATGCCTCTTCCATGCTCACACATCGGGGGTGGCTCACCCACATCTCCGCCAACAGGGTCAGCTCTACTCTGCTGCTCAGGGGAGGTGCGGGGCCTGTTCTCCTGAGTGCTGCAGCTGGTGGGGGACAGGGACAACTTTCCTGCTCTTATTGGCCCTTTCTTTCTTATGAGCCTATTCTGATTACAGACTCTCCTAATCAATACCCATCTCTCTGTCCGAAGTTACTGCCTGCTGCTCATAATATTAAGACCCTTCCCATTGCCACCCTTAGCTGGGAGCCAATGGACGCTAAAGGCTTCTAAGGAAGAGGGAGTCATTTTTCCACAGTGGTGTAGCTACTTGTAAGTTGCCCATGATCCAGCTACACACAGGCAAACCATCTTGAATAAGCTTAGTGAGCTATTTTTATAAATGGGAGGGGGTAGAGGAAAGGGGGAGATGATGTAATTATATTCTAATTTGTAAACTGGGTATGAAATAAGGAGGGGGATGTGTCGGGAAGAGGGTTCCATGGGGAGGAATAGGGGATTAGAGAGGGGTCTGGGGAAGAATATGACAAAAATACATTGTACACAATATGGAATTATCAAAACCAAATTAAAATATTAAAGAAAAGATGTTTTCTATGATTGTATGCTTATACAAAAAAGCACAGATCTCTCTCAAGATAGAGTTCTCAGCTTTGAGACATCTTGGTTTCTGGGGGACAGCCATCCTGTTCTGTGGGGTGTGGAGAAGGAGTAGGATGGACACGCCAGCTTGTCTCACAGGCATGACTAGCCTGCTCGCTCCCCAAAGGGCAGCAATGAAGAACGTCCTCAGACTGATGAAGAGTTCTCCCAAATTGAGTTTGATTCCAGCCAGCAGCATCTTTAGAGCTTCTTGCTTTGAAGAGAAAAGTGATAAGGTTCTCTGTAATTTAGAAAGATGGCATTAGGTGTCTATTCTATGTCAGATGTCTGCTTAGAGATAAAAACAGACTGACTCTGTGGACCCATGGTGCTCATAAGCAGAAGGAGAAAGAGATGTAAAGGAACAGACTTCATGACTTCAAACATAGACTCCCAGAACAAGGTGGTCCTTGCAGTGTGTGTGTGTGTGTGTGTGTCTGTGTGTCTGTCTGTCTGTCTGTCTGTCTGTCTGTCTGTTTGTTTATCTCTGTGTGTGTGTGTGTGTGTGTGTGTGTTGATGAATCTCTTCATGAATGAATGAATCTGAATCTCAGTGGTTTGGCTAAATTGGCTGACCTCCTAGGATTCAAAGAGGTCTTTTTGAACAATGGAGAGATGATTTTGTCCCTACTCCAGGGACATTTGGTAATGTATGGAAACATTTTTATTATGAAGATGGCGCTAAAGAGCTACTGATGGCATCTGATAGACAAAGGATGCTGCTAAGCACTCTGTGGTGGAGAGAGTCAACATCACACCGAGGGTCTCTGGCCTCAAATGTCATGTGTGCTGAATTTGAAAAAACCCTGGTTAATGAGATGATAAAGAGGCTGAAGGCAGCAGGCTCCTTGCTGATTGAGCTGGAGCTCAGGGCCAAGACTCAGTAACAGTAGGAAGAAGAATAAACAAAACAAATCCCTGGGAACAAGAGCCAAGGGCCAACTGGATGCACCCACTACCAACATTGGCAGAAAAGGAGGCTGTGTCTCCATGCTAAACGTCTTCCATAGATCTGTTAGTTCCAATAACTTGGCTATAGCAGTTGACTCTGTACATAGCCCATTCAGAGAAAGGTGTGCCTATCTGAGTTTGCCTCCCATGGTTAATGTTGGCTGAGAGCGAGAGGGTCAGTCTCACTGAAAATGACTCTCCTGTATTGCCTATGTAACCTGAGGATAGAGAACAGTGTCGTGCATATTTATATCCTCCATAAAGAGAAACCCACTGTTCTTCTATAGTTCTTTAATTAGTGCATATTAATTGACTAACTGATGGATTTTGTCCTTAATTGGCCATGTCATTCACATCCATCTAGACTCAGCATGGCCAGGACAACTTGGACACGTTCCAACTTATTGAGGAACAATCTCCCATGGAGGACATAAGCAATCACACCACCACCGGACTTGGACTCAACTCAGAATCTAAACAGAAATAAAGCAAGCACGCTCCAGCCCTGTGTGGAGCATGCAGTGTAATCAGCTTACCAATGGCTGGGCCCCCATGAGGAATGGTGATGATAGGCAGCCACTTCGGTGATGAATCACAGAGCAGCTTCATTTAGCTCACCCCACAAAGGCATAGCACCCCACCAGCCTCTGGAGAAATTAATGCACCTTAATTTGAATCAGAGGCTAATTTCAAATCAGCTATTTTACATATCTAGCTGATGTTTCTTCCCTTCCGGGGTTATTTCTTCCCTCTCTACATGCTCGGATCTGGCTCTGGCAGCTAAATATCGAAACCAAATACTTTGCAAATCAGATGCTGAAGTATGAAGAGAGGGCGTGGGCTGCATCTCAACTTCTCCATTAATGCCTAGCCTTGCGCTTTTCCGATAGAGCCCAGATTTCTGCTCATTTTCAAAGCTGCCGTTAACAAGTGGGGGAAGTTGTTATCTCCTCCCGAGGTGCCTACACAGTGGCAGAGAAACCTAAAAGTCAGAAAAACCTCACACTCCCAAGAAAATTATCCTTTGGTGGTAGGAATGGAGACAGCCTCTGTGGTGGTTTGACTGAGAAGTGTCCCCATTGGTTGGGGTAACGGAACACTGGATCCCCAGCTGGTGGTTCTGTGTGGGGAGGTTTAGAAGGTGTGGTCTTGCTGGAGGAAGTGTGCCACAAGGACAGGCGTTGGGAGTTTATCGTTTACCCCATTTTTTAGCTCTCTTCCTCTGCCCTGAGCTCGCAGTGAAAATGTCATTTCTCAGCTTCCCGCTACTTTCACTATGCCCGCCATTTGCAGCCCTGCTTCCCAACGTGATGGAGCCTTATCTGTCTGGGAAGCAAATGGAAGCCGATGCCGTCAGTAAGTTCCTTTCCGTCACATTAGAGCTGAGAACCAGTTCCACACAGGATGAGTGAAAGCCAGAGCAACAGCAGGTCTTTAAGGTCCTGATCTTCTTTATTGCTTTATTGCTATTTATTCTCTTCTAGCATAGGTTAGTGGTTTGGGTGGGAACCACCCTCCGTAGGCTCACGTATTTGTAAATTGGTCCCTAGCATGTTGCTCTGTTTTGCAAGGTTGTGGAATCCTTACGAAATGGAACTTGTAGATTGAGGATCCCTAGGGGTGGGATTCCTTTGGGAATCCCATGCGTTAGTTCCACTTCCTGTCCACACTCTGCTTTCTGGCTGCAGATCCGTGTTCTCCTGCCTACTGCCATGACAGACTGTATCCGCTCCACACTCCACCCCAAGTCCAGTAACTAGCACTGTTTCCAGGCTGGGGGAAGCAACATCAACAAATGTATTCCTTAACATGTTCTCAAGTTGCTTGTTGTCAGGTATTTGATCATGGGACTGAGAAAAGCAACTGAAGCAATGTGTTTGGAAAAGGCACTGCTGCAGCCTAGGACTGTGATGGATAGCGGTGGGACTGGTTTCAGAGCCGAAGGGAAGACTCGAGGAAATCTTGGGCATCTCAGCAAAACCCTGGTCTCTGAGACAGGAATAAAACATGTCAGGGAAGATAGGACTGACCGAACTAGGACTCTGTACCGTAAAGACAAACAAAACATGACAGAGCATTTTTTCACTGTAAAGCAAATATACAAAAAAAAAAAAAAAGTCACCGGTCGTTTTCACTTTTAGAACTCTGGGTTGACCTAAAGCTTCCAGTTAGTTGTACATATTGGGAAAAAGTTAACCACAGATGTACCGGAGAGGAGCTAAAATGAGAAGAGGTTTCACAGACGGGTCACTTTCCCCAGGCACAGGATGCTGGAAGATTAGTATGCTTCTCCACCTACTCAGGATAAGAGGACACAGTCAATGTTTCTATAGCAAGCAGCCAACAAACAGTAGTAGCTAAAAATGACAAACTTTATGTGTTTCCCGTCTCGGTGACCATCCTGTGTTTGCAGGCACACTCTCCATCATGGTCACCCAGGAATATTGTTTGTTTTGATAGCAGAAACAACAACAAAAGCAAACACAATTTAGGGCATTGAGCTGCCTGTCTCTAACCCAAGTGGTTAAGGCAGGAGGCTCACAAGTTCAAAGATAGCCTGGGCTATATAGTGAGACAAGCAGGAACAATAAAGCAAACAAACACAGGAAACTACCTAGGCTCTGAAAGCAGCACCTGTACTCAACTTGCAAGTCACAAGTCTCATCTGACTTCAAGGGTGGGGGTGGGGGATCTTTCTTCCATGTTCCCGGCAGGTAGGGGACTAAACTATATGAAACTCATTTATAAAAAGAATGATGCATTTTATTTGTTTGCTGCAGGTCTAAGAGAAAAGCCCATTAAGCTGCACCATGGTCCCCATCATGCTTCAGCTTCAAGGCAAACTGACAGGTTTGAGATCGCCTAGGAGACACAGATCTTGGGAGTGTCTATGAGGATGTTCCGAGAGGGAAGACCCATGTTGAATGTGGGTGGTTCCACCCCCTTGGACTGGGGTTCCACACTGAACAAAGGAGGGAAGGAGGAAGTCAGCACCCATGGTTTGCAAAGGCATGAGTGAGTTCTCAGTCATAGCTGCATGTGGCTCCACCCCAGAACCCCACTATGGAAGACTGCATTCCCTGAATCGTGAGCCTAGATAAACCTTTCTCCTTTGCGTTTCTTCCTGCCTCCCCACTGAGACATCTGGCCTCCCCACTAAGAAAAGTAGCTAATACAAACCCCTCTGTTGCCGTTGGTGGAAAGTTTGCAGATAAGCTAGATGGGTTCTTGAGGAAGAAAAAGTGAGGCAGGGGTCCTGGTAGGATGAACATCTGATTTTCTACTCGTGTACTAGGGAAGCAAAGTTCCAATTGGTGTGCAGCAATTTACACAATTGCACACTTGACATACCAGCAACACTGTGTAGTAGGCATACTGTCTCATGTGATGTAATCGAAGTGTTGTTTCCAGGATGGGGAAACAGTGCAGATCACTTACTTCTGCTTTGTGCTCTGAGCTCCTCACTCGGGAGCTGCCCACACAACCTGAATGCTAGCGCCAGAACCGGGAGGGCACAGGGACCTACAGTGAGGCTTTTTATTTGAGGGCCTTCCTTGATGCAGCTACAGTCTGGCTGTCGTGTGTCTGTGAACAGCCAGGAACTTACAAGATGAACTGTTTTCCTTTTACCTGCAGTCACATGACCAGAAGCAGGTGGACTGAAATAACAGAAATGTATTCTCTTGCTTTCTAGAGCCTGGAAAGTCTGAAATCTAGGTGTCAGCAGGGCCGTGCTCCCTCTAGAGGCTCGAGGGAAAATCCCTTCCTCACTCTTTCCAGCTCTCATCTTATTCCCTTATCCCAGGGTCACAGTGGCCTACTCTCTTGCCTGGTTTCTCCTCTCCCGGCTGTCCCCAGATTTCCTATGCCTCTCTCATACAAAGTGGCATGTGATTGAATCCAGATTTAACCAGATAATCAAAGATAAACTTCTCCCCTTGAGGTCCTTGACTTGGCCAGAGAGATGATACAGCAGGTAAAGGGGTTTGCCACCAAGTCTGATGACCTGTGTTCTATCCCCAGAACCTACACAGTACAAGATGATAACTGACTCCTGCAAACTGCCCTCTGGACACACCCCTATACAATCTCCCCCCATAAAATTAATGAATAAATGAAACTTATTAAATTTTTAAGATACTTACCTTAGGGGTTGGAGAGATGGCTCATCAGTTAAAAGCACTTGCTGCTCTTCCAGAGGTCCTGAGTTCAGTTGCCAGCACCACATCAGGAAGTTCAGAACCATCTGTAACTTCAGCTGCAGGGAATCCAAGGCTTCTGGCCTCCTTGGGCACCAGCTCTCACCTGCATATACCCACATTCAGAGACACACATGCATATACCTGCATGCAGAGACACACCTGCATGCAGAGACACACATGCAGTGACACACCTGCATATACCCACCTGCAGAGACAAACATCTACACAAAAATAAATATTTCCAAAAGATACTTAGCTGAATCACATCTTTGGTCACATAAAATAAAACCCACTGGTTCCAAGGATTAAAACATAGATAAGTCTTTTGGGAGATGTACTATCCAGTTTTTTGTCAACTTGATACAGGCTATAGCCAACAGACAGGAGCAAATCTTGACTGAGATACTGCCTTCGCAAGATTTGGCTGTATGCAAGCCAATTAGCAGCGCCCCTCCATGGTCTCCAGGTTCCTGTCCTCTTTGAGTTCCTGTCCTGATTTCCTTCGCTGACGAACAGTGACATGGACGTGTAAGCCAAACAAACCCTTTCCTTCCAAGTTGCTTTGGTCATAGTGCTGCATCACAGCAATAGGGACCCTAAGACAGGAGAGCATCAGCAGTCTGGTCCCTGAAGAAGACACAGGAGGAAGGACTGCTCAGAGGGAATAGGGCTCAAAACACGCTTTACAAATGTGCTCGGAGCTTTGGCTGTCAAGTCGTACACCGAAGGATGAGAGCCAAGAACAGTTAGTCAAAGAGCAATGTCAGAAGATGGGAAACTCTGAGGGGACGTTTCAGGGGCCAGGGATTCAAGAGAGCAATTTAGAGTTTGAGTCCTCTGACTTTAATCCCTGTTCTTAGAAAGTAAATTGCACTCTGAGGAAATGGAGCAAAGTCAGAGACCTCTGTTGGGGAGGTGGCTCCAGGCCAAAATTCCAAACTTGTTCTTCCCACTTCAACCTGGAGGAAGTGCTGTGTGTGTCCTTTCTGACATTGGAGGGGACATTTGCCCTCCTTGCACCAGTTTTGGTGGACATGTATATGTGAAGGCTTCTGAGGGGAGGTGCAGTTAGGACACAGAAGCCTCTCCTTTCTGATGAGAGTGGATCACAGAGGGTGGGCCTTGAGGCCTCTAGCCTGGCTCCACTTCCTCCCTGACTTCTGCACTCTGTCTGTCACATGACCTCCCCAGATGGCTGCATTCCTGTGCACACCTGCTTTCTCACTAAGTACCTCTACTTATGAGCTATTCTACTGGTGAGTGGAGGGTTTGGGCTGAGACTCCATTCAGGCATCTCCACTCAGATCTTATAAGGGTTCTTCCCATTGATGTGGGATTCTCTACTTTGGTCTTTAGGTTGGGGTGTCTGTTAGTTGGAATCACCCCGCAGAGGCTGTCTCACATAGGAGAGGCCAATAACTTAGTAGTTGCACTCTATAAACTTGGGTGCCTCGGGAGTGCCAATCTGTCATCAAAACCCTTCAGGGCTCCTGGGGAGCCACTGTCCACAGTCAACAAGGAAATAGTGATTCTGGTATCAGCGAAAGAATCAGCAGTGCTGACAGCGACCTGGTAAATCAACTCAGTATTGACAGCGGGGAAGACCAGGTAAGCCAACAGCAGCTGGTCTTGCCCTTGCATACCCGTTTGAACCCTGGCTGCTGCCAGAAGGTGTTCCCATGTAGTGGCGTGTCAACTGTATTTTAATAAATAAAGACAACCTGAAGATCTGAAAAGCAAAACAGCCAGCCACTGGGTCTTAGCTTGACTTCGGTCTGAAAATAGCTATCCTTCCTTAGGGATCTCAGAAGGAGACTGTGTCTGAGAGCTGTCTCCTCCTCCCCTACCCTCCCACCCCTGGTCTTATATTCTTCTCTAGGGCTAGGATTAAAAGCATGTACCACCTGATTTCTATAGCAACTACTGTGGCTCCAGGGATTAAAGGTGCGTACCACTGCAGCTACTGGGATTAAAGGTGTGTGTTACCATAACCTGGTCTATAAGACTGACTAGTGGGACTGTTTTACTCTCAAATCCAGGCAGTCTTTATTTATTAAAATACAGTTGAAATGCCACTAAACTCTCACATCAGTTAAGGCAAATGGGACAATATCTCAGCTGAGGCTCCCTACTAGGTGATTCTAGCTGATGTCAACTTGACACTAAAACCAGCCACTAGAGGCTTCTACATCTGGCGGTTCTCCCCATTGGTCAGATGTCATTTAAGATACCCAGTTTTCATAAAATGCCAACTGTGAATGCTGACTCTGGAAAGTAAAGTTATTAAAATTAAAACAACATTGAATTGACTTAGTCGCCCACTGGAAAATACATGAACAGCCAGTTTGGAGTCTGATTGATGGAAACTATCTAATTAATGGTGATCATCCAATCAAAGGAACAGAGCAGGGAGAAAGAAACTGCTTCAGCTCAGCGACAAAGAGCATTTGCTGCTCTTCCGAAGAACCCAAGCTTAGTTCCCAGTACCCATGTTGGGCGGCCCACAGCCCCTTGTAACTCCACTTTCAGAGGATCTAGCATCCTCTTTTGACCTCCATGGACATCGTCCTTTCATGTGTACACACACACACACACACACACACACACACACACACACACACACTGCTCAGGGCTTCAGAGTTCTTGCTGCCCTTACAGAGGACCTGGGTTTGTCTCCCAGCACCCACATGGTGACTTACAACTGTCCATATCTCCAATTTCAGATCTCGTACCCTTTACTGTCCTCTAGGCCCAAGCGTTCACGGTGTACTTACTTACATGCAAGCAAGAAACTCACACACATAAAATAAAAATACATAAATAGTATCCAAAAAGCTCAAACTACTCAGAGAGTACTGGAGCCATTTGTTAAACAATTTTATGTATAGTAAAATAATAACATAAATTCTACTGGAGGAAAAAAGAATGGAATATTGAATGTATTTATAGAGATAATGAATGAATTTTATGAATGGCATTGTAGAGAGCTAAAATGTAACATACGCTAGTAGAAAATGCAAAAAAACAAAATCACATCATCACACATCACAATCAAGCTGACAAGATCTAAAAGCCCAAAGGAAGATGTGGAAGTAGGCAGAGAAAAATGATGTATTACAGACGGAGAGAAATGGTGCATACCACATCTGGCTTCTTACTAGAGCTACAGAGGAGAGAAACAGTAAGTTCACGCAGCCAACTGTGAGTCACAGCTCAGTCACAGGATACACTATAGCTCATAGTTAGAAATCTGCCTTAATTACACTCCCCAGACTGCAATGACAGAGATTAGGAGAAAGCCAGCAAGCCTCTTACTCATTATGCTATTACGCAGGGAATGGGCAGCCTCTTAAAGGCAGACAACAAGATGCAAGGCTAGGAAAGGGACATAATGACTCAGTCCGTTTCTGTGTAGGCAGGTCTATTGAGGATATTGTCTAGGAGATGCTAGATGGGAAAATCAGTTCAGCAATGCCAGTGATAGGAGAAAAGATAGACAGTGATGGCTGTGTATAACCCTGGTGCCCCCAAGATGCCTGCCTTCTGGTGTCAATCTTTCTTTAATATAATATTTAAATAGAATTGTTTAAGTCCTGCTGCATTCCAGCCCCAAACAACAAGGTCTTCTCTTCTCTCTCTCTCTCTCTCTCTCTCTCTCTCTCTCTCTCTCTCTCTCTCTCTCTC